TCAGCTAAATCAGATTGTTCTCATGTACTATTGTTCTTCAGTGAGGGAGATAATTTTGATTCACCTGTATGATAATTACCATGAACACAAGGTATACTGTGAATGTACACGTGGACACGAATTGTAGGAATTTTCAATCTTCAACACAGTATTACTCAGAACGTAACAGCAACACGTTTCATTTTTTCAGATATTCCGGCAATGTATTGAATTATATTTGTTGTTATTGATGGTTGCTCTCAATATGGTGTATTCTGTCTGTTTTCAATTTTGTCGATCGTTTTATCAATAAAGTTTTTTGGATAGGAGTATTATGTCGAAAACAGGTGTATATTCGTCTCTAAATGAAGTGAAGTGATAATTTGATATTGTCCTGATATTCTTCATATTCGAACCGTTGTTAAAAAAAGATCTCACGGACTTTCGATAGAATTTTTATTCGAGCACCTCTAATAGTAAAGTGTTCGAACGCAGTGATATTTTGCGGTGCATCATCTGAAGCATATATTGAAATTATACTCATACTTTTATGATAATAGTGTCAAGAAGTACAAATGCCTATGAATCAACATCACTCAAACTCTAGTTAATTTCAAGATCTTTTATCATAAATCAACTTTTCCAAATTGAAACATACAGTAGGTACATTGTAGTTTCGATCATGTGAGCGGAGTTCATAGACGTAAGTTCCTTTAAAATTTGCAAAAAACCGCTTACCGTACGATAATACCTAGGTAAGCAATATCGAAAGGTAACGGGTATATTCCCATTGCGGAGAATTGCGAACCTAGCATTTCGTTTATGAATAGTACCCGAGTCGATAAGGCATCGATATTATCCATACAATTTATTAGTAATTATCAATTGAAAATGTTCGCCGTTTCCCCGACTTCAATCCTGTTGGTCAACCTCATGCTGAACGTTGTGATGTGAGTACTGTTTTTTGAAGTGTTGTTCTGCGTTCTGTTTCATTTGGCAAGCCATTATGTTCGTGTTTTTTGCTTACTTGCCATGTGACAGGCATTTATCCACGATTTTTCCATTCAATCGATGAATGTCAAATTTTATAGGAAAACTGTCTTGACTCTCTATTTGGGGATGAATGTGGTTGATTGGTGAAATGATCAAAACCTCTCGTCAAAAAGCCAACCGAGTTGCTAAGTTACGACGGTCAAAATCTGAGTTCGACTCGTGGTGGAGGCGCCGTTTGTTCTCAATAAAGTGTATATGTGCTATAATGAAGGATATATCTGATATAACCTACTAGAAACATCTGAGTTGCGACACGTGGTGGAGGCGCCGGGTGGAGAAAAAACCTTTAAAAATCAAAAGAAATGAATATTTTACCTCGTCGTTGAACTTACGAAAAGTATACAACATACGAGTGAATTGAAATTCAGCTTTCATTCATTCAATATTTTTTTCCATCTCAAGTAATTTGTTCTCTCTCTTGTCAACATCGGGTTTCTACTTGACTCCATTACATATTCCTATGACATCGAATAGGTGTATTTTGTTCATGATATTCGAATCTTCTTGACAAAATGGGTGACAATAATAATTCTCTGCTTTAGCAGAACCAGAATTAATATAATGTAAATCATTCGCTGCCCTTTTCTTTATTATTTCAGTTTAATAGTGATATCTTCAAAAAAAGTGGCAATAACTTCATTAAGTTTCATTCTATCAGTCCAAGAAGAAACGACTCAATCACGAATGTTGAAGTGATCGCTCTGTAAATACGAACGTAGAAAATGAGATCTGAAGAATGAACGTTATTTTGGAATGCTTCAATTCGCATGAAAATGTGGAGACTTGGGTGTTCCAAATCGAGGGTTCTAATGGGGCTCATAAATACGAAACCGCTAATGGAACATGATGCGATATTCTGAGCATTATAACAAGTATACGATCTATCAAAGATAAGTTAGATACATCATTATCACGTTGTATTCTTTCACTATAATCATCTCACCTACTATGAGTTGAGTTCCACGTTGAGATAAACTATCATTTCGTTATAATGAGTCAACTAATAGTTAGTAATTATATTATACCCAAACGGTGCTGGATTACGAGCCATGAAAGGCTGTATTGTAATGATATTGTCAATGTTTAATTCGTATCAATTGTCAGAGTCTTTTTATATAGGTACTCTTGTTAAATACACAGTGACAACTTCCGAAGGGGAAATATAGGCTGAATGTACGATCGAACAATGTACTTTAGGATTCGGAATCGAAGATAATCATAGAAATATTTCATTGCAAACCAATTAATGGCCTCATCAACATTCAGAGTCCCAAAAAATGAGGAAATTCAGGAAAGCTGATCTGCATATTCAATGAGGTTCTACATCCCTTTGGCTATTTGTTGATATCTATGTCATCAGAATGAAATATAGCTCATTATAACGATAGATAAGTGAGTCATTGATGAGTGGAAATGGTGGAATTCACTCAGGATACAGGTTGCTGCAAAAATACTATAATGACTGGTAAAAAGTGAAAGACTTCTCAGGATGAGTACAAAAGTAATAACTCACTATAACGACAGGTGAGCAAATGTTTGAGTTGTTTTTTTATGTTTGGCTTCTGACGGTTGAATCGAAGAAATGGTTCATCAGAATTCATATCATCCATGGAAGATCAGTTGAATGTCACTTCGAGTTTTACCGAAAATAGAATAATATAGGCCGAGATCTTTGAATGAAACCCGTTTTACGCCAATCGATAGAACGAAATATTTAATTCTCAATGACATGTAACAAGTGAGAATTGGTTTTTAAAATGGTGGCGCAGGAGACAGTTTTTTTCTGAAATCAATATGGTCATCGTCATCCTCATAGTTTTGATTTTCGTCATGCAACCTGATAAAATGGCAGGAAACCAAAGAACTCTGATTCAGTCTTGATATAACATGCAAAAATCTTGATTAATCGCTAATCAGGATTCCGTTCAGTATTTCTTTCGAACGACGATATTTTTCTAAAATTGTCTTCAAGAGTTTGAATTGTAAATTGTTCTTCCTACTACTACTACAACTGGAAGTCGATATCTTCAGATTGATGCCTAACATACTACACCTCTTGTTTTCAGGGTGACGAGTTTCAAAAAAATATTTTTCAATGCAGAAATAGTTACTTTTCTAATTTTGACAAGTACCTACCATACATTTCCAAACTGTTTACGTAAATATCTGTTACTTATTGAAGTAATGAAAAAGGCAACCTTCAATGATTTTTCGATCGCAAATGAAAATAAAAATTGAATAGAATGTTAGGAATATATTTGTCGATACGAACTATTACTAATAATTCAATTGATTCAAAATGGAAACGATTTGTGATTCAAAATTTTGTAGGATATTCGAGAGGAAGAATGTCATTCAATAAAATTACTGAATTGATTGGCGATGATTGAAAAATTTTGCATGTTCTAAAAAAATTCCAATACCTATACCTCCTGTCCGTATCCTCCCTAGGAACGCACGATGTTTGCTGAACATTATAGGGATTTCCTTTCGTGCGCTCCAAGCGATAAAAAAAAACAATCGAAGTGTTTTGTTTATATGCTATTTGATTATGTTGCTTGAAGAAAGATTCGATCGATGACTTCACAGTGTTGTCATATTGTTGAAAAAAAAAATGTATCATGCGCCGCAATTTTACAAACAAATCTCCTCCTGTGATATGTCATCGAAAAGGGAATTCTTCGCTTCATCGAATGGCGTGAAAATATCTACATGGTTCTATTCTGAATTCTCGACCTAGGTCTATGCGGTGAAACCAGAAGTGGGTTTCAAAGAATTATATCTTAGATACGAATGTCAAAATTCTGACAGAAAAATCGAGTGAATGACGCCTGGTTTGATATTGATGGAACACTAACTCACTATACAGGGTGATTCAGTTTCCTAGTTTTCGCTTGAATTTTATTTTTGATCAAAATTCACTAATAATGCAATGAAATGTACTAATATTGCGATGTTCTTGAGAATGTGTAGAATCTGGATCAGTAGCGAGGATACAGTAAGTAGAAGGTCAGGTTGCTTTTAACTGACCAATACGACGCGAAAAATTCGTGTCAAACAACTGGTTTAGTCCCAACAAGTTGTATCTAATATATTTTGCCAATATCATTAGATAAATTGAGATATAATATAGCATTCAACCTGTAGGAAAAAATGTACGATCCACAAAGGACAAAATAGGAAATAAATAGTCAAGCCACATGTGAATTATGATGAATCACCACCATACATCTGGTAAATGTGACCTCATCAGTCCACAATACATATATTCTCTACTATTCGTCTTTGTCAAAATTTCAAATGAATTTTGTCCGAGAATAAAATTTGATAGAAACAAAAAAATAGATGAAACGAATAAGCTCATTTATCTCGAAAACTGTTTACTTTTCGGAAGAAAATGGAAGGCAAAAAAGCCTCTACATTGAACGATCCATCCTATTTGGAAACTGGGAGATGTCAGCCTCTTCCCCCAAAAACGTTTCAGCCTATAGATTTTGGAAACCATCATCAAAATACTTACGATTATAATTCTCTGGAAAGTATCAACTACACCAGATTCCAAATCGATATCAACAAAAGTGATTGATAGAACAAAATAATCGAAATTTTCCCCTCTGTAGTTCCCTCCGCAACTGATCGAGATCGGACTCATGTTCATAAGAAACTTTTTCGATCAAAATGATAAGGTCTATAACCCATTCCAGTTTGTACCTCGAAACCCCAATCACCCTGTATGAACTGATGTTTAGTAACTTGTTATAATGACAAGGTAAGGCATGGTAATGACTGGTGGGTTACTCGTTGTTTTGAGCTGATGAATCAATACTCACAATAATCAGTAGGGTAGTTCATCATGAAAAAAATCAAGGGTCATGTTTCATTAGCGTTCCCGCACAAAAACAATGCAGTTTCAACACGCACATAGTCGACGAGGCTGTCAGCCAGGAACGACACAAAAAGTCTAAAACTTAACAGTAAGCCAACAAAACGTAGGAGATGAACGCCAATGCCCCTAGGGAGGGGCCCATTCTCTGATTGCCTCCATGTTGCATTGCCTCGGGGTGCTCACCTGGAAAATAAAACGGGATAAATGTAAATTGGAGGGTATGGACTGATATTAAACATTTTTCCAGAACATCGATGTGAATTCTATTGCGAGACGCAATCGCAGTTTATATATTCTGACATTTCGTGTAGATAAATTTGAACAAGCTAATTCTACACCTTTGCACTTTTGGCGCTAGATGGATCTGAAGGCTGAATCGTGTTACCAACCGTTTGAAACTATGCTTTTGTAGCATGAATTGGAGTAACGAGTTCCTGAATCGATTGTCATATGACTAGCTGAAACTGATGAGTTTTGACAAACTAGAACTGACTACAGAGTTGTCCAAAGAATTGTGCTTAGTGCTAGTAAGAGCACCGTGCTCCCGAGCACTTCCTTGAGCCAGTGCTTAGTGCTTGGTGCTCCGAGCAGTCAACGAGAAGGCTTAGTGCTTAGTGATCCCGAAAAGTGCTCATGAGTATTGCAGTGCTTGGGAGTACTCTTCGGTTTCACTAAGCACTAAGCCTTTCCACACTGACAAATTGTCGTTATTGAGAATTGAAGAACAAAAAGGTGGTCGGCCAAGTTAAACAAACAAAAACAATGTCAGGTTTTTCAACTGTGTAACAGTATAATCCTTTCCGAATGCCCTTAGTGCTTAGTGCTCACTATGTCGAGTCAGATACTTCTTGAAAGTGCTCAGTAATAGGAAGCATTTTGCCAATGTAAGTGGTGAGGGCTGGAATACGCACTGCCTTTGCGGTGTTTGGCCTTGAAATATTAAATTGATACTATCTGGAACTAAAGAATCCAGAGACTAGCATGTGTATGCATTACCGGTGCAATGATAATATCTCTGACTGCCATCTCAGAGGTGATTCTAGAACTCACTTCTCTAATTCACTTTTGGAAAATGACACAAACATAACAATATTCAGAATGATTAGAGAAGGAGTGATCAAAGGTAGACCAATCTGCCTACTTAACCAGCAAATTCAAGATTTGCCTCAGGATCCGTTAGAGAAAAATGATTTAATGAAACAATTCACAACAGGGCTGATCTGCGAAAAAGAATGGGAGTGGAATAGGAGTCAAGGGGCATTGCACCAAGTACTTCGAGAGCTGTGGCAAATTTCAAGGGTATATTACAAGCAGAAATTCACGTGATAGAAAGATGTGTACAGTTCGATCTGGAAAACACCCTATGAAATACGAGATATCATCATAATATTCGATAGTCAAGCAGCCATTGATGCGCTCTATGGTTATCAAATCCAAAATGATCTGGGATGCCACGGAAAACTGACCGAATTTGCCAACAGTCACCTTCCTATGGGTTTCGGAACATCCAGAATAGAAGGAAATGAAGTAACAGACAAACTCGCTAGGAAATGAGCGCAAACATCCTTCGTGGGACCAAGATTCTCATGTGGGATCAGCAGCATTACTGATGTATTGTATCAGAAAAAAAATGAGATAGACGAAGCTGAATGGACATAAACAACCCAATGTCTCAGACAGGCTGAGATATTACTGCGTACATATAACCACAAAAGAACGAACACATGTCAGCCTGAGCAAAAATGAACTGTGTATACTAACAAAAGTCCTATCACTGTCGCTTGAAGAAGCATATCAGGAAGAGGGGGAAACCTCTATCAAGATACTGAGGTTTGTTAATCTGTGCAGATACTAACTTACTTACTGCAAGAAACCTAGAAGCACACATGATAGAGGAGGAGGAGCTATCCTACACAACTAAAACCACCTCATATTCTGAAATTTCCGACGGTTATGAGACTAGAGAAAATGCTCAAACTGAAGAGGATATCAGCTAACTGAGGGAAAAAACTATATTTCACTATAGTTGAGAACATGCAGGGTGTTTCATTTGGAAAAACTGATTCAAACTACTTCTTTTTATTAGGCGATTTACATCTGTTTGTTAAAGGTGTGTCAAAAGATAGCACAGATGAAAACCTACAAGTTCCATGTTTGTAGTTTTTGTCTACCTCGCATGTCAAAAGTATATGTTGAGGACAATATATTTATGGGGACACCCTGTATGGTGGTATTCACGTTCTGGGATTTTCAGCTTCCACATCTGGGTAGTTGGGCGATCTGCAACTATACCACAGACCATCTAGAATTACATCATTGTTACAGGGTCTTTCATAATTAGCTGAGTAGATATCTATACGCGAAACTATAGAGACTCGAAATATTTGTATATAGAGGTTTTCCAAAGTGCTCGTTTCAAGTGAAAGATTATCAGTATCCTGCAACTACCGGAAATGGACTTCATCAACTTCCCTATTTTTGATGTACCAATTTTTATAGATTATTTGTCAATCTGCGCTGATTTCCAATGTATCTTCACGAGAAGCTTTCATTATTTTCTTGTGGTATATTTATTTCTCCACTATCATTGCAAAAAGAAGAAGTATATCGATAGACAACATGAAAAAACTTTACGCCGATTATGATCGTAGAGAGTTAAACTCATAATAGGGATAGTTCGTATGTCGAAAGTTAATTACATAATGTTATTACGGCAATAACATGCCATTTTAATCAAAACATGCAAATCGAATACTGATGCTCTGATGCAGAAGTATACACATCAGTATATACAAAATACGATTTATTTAGGTTCCGAATGAATGTTTCCACAAATGATGGATAATATATGCGGGTATATTCGGGAATTTATAATGAAGTTATTGATGATTTGGATATGAACAAAAAGAGCATCTTCAGAGGAGGAGTAAATGAACCATGGAATATTTCCATTGATTGGCAATTTCTTTCCACTCCAGTTGAAAGCTGCGTCTAAAGAAAACATCTATGGGTACGTTGCGTTCGGCTCATTTTTCGATTCATCAATATTTCGATTCATCCAAATTTCGATTCAACCAAATTTCAATTCACCCAATTTTCGTATCACTAACCGTTTCCTAACATACCCGAACGATGCGTTGTTGTCAAATACTGCTATATTTCCTCAATTTCAATGAAATAGTCACTGTGGACCTATCAACAGTCATATCATCACTGTCAAGTATTTCGTTGGGCCTCCAATCCACCCAAATTTCTATTCACTCAAATTTGGATCCACCCAAATTCGATCCGCCTAAATTTTGATTCACACAAGAAGCAGGGCCGTAATGCGAGTCACATGTCAATGAAACAATTTTGTAAGAAATCTTGTTATTCATTGACATGTCACTCATTACGGCCCTGCTTCTTCTCGCATCTTGCCTTACATTCTTTGTTTATGCCACAGGACAGTTTTGTGTCACTTGTCATTGGATACATATTTCACGTTTCCTATGTCAAGTGTCAACCTAACCCACCCCCCCCTTCACCGCTATATTACGTCACGGTTACCATTATTCTCATGATGGGCCCCATTTCATCTGTTATCACTCTGATGAACAAGTGTTGGGATCCCTCATAAAGCCCCTTTGGGCCTTGGGCCATTTGCCCTTCATTTTTATTATTACTTAATTTAAAAATTGTATTATGCAATAATTTTATTAACTTCTCCTTTTCATTTCCACGTGAGTATACATAACCTAAACATAACATTTGTAACTATATAAAAAACCTCTCTTTGTAGTAAATTGTCAATTAAAATATGCTGCTGATGATGGACTATCGATAGTCCGGAACATGTACAGATACTGATTACTAAGTCAATAAATTTGTGGAGATGTCTTGTTTATGAAACGAAATTTGGGTTAATCGCGATTTGGCGAATCAAACTTTGAGTGAAACAAAATTTGGGCGAATCAGCAAAATTTCCAGTTGGGGGTAGTGTGCTCACCGGCTTCGGTGATTAGCCTCAGTAGCAGAAAAAGGCCGACGTTAAAGAAACAAGGAGGAAGAAGATGAGAAATGGACTAGATAGAAATTGACGAAAAGGCTATTATCAAAATATGTATGTTGTATGTATGTATACAGGGTGTTTCATAATTGAATGCTGATCCTAGAGGTCGATGATCCTTGGATGGTTTTAAGGAGTGAAGTTCATATCAAAATATGTCCTGAACCTCTTAGTTTTTGAGCTACAGGGTGTTGAAATCAGAAGCGTACAGCGTTTTTTTAAACAAAACATTCAATATCAGGTCTACGAGGACATCACTGGTAAAAGTGAAAGTTTGATTCTCGTCCCAAATCGGAATGTGTTTCCACTTATAGTGGGTGTCTACTGAATCACCAAAAACAATATCCAAGAACTGAAGGAACAAAATTCTTTGGTTTTTATTTTTTTACGTGAAAACGGTACGTTGTATGAAAGTAAGTCTGAAAACCAAATTTGCTCCAAAATGAATGAGAATTGAAAAAAAAATCTGGTTCTCAGAAAAATCAGTGGCGTACTATTTTTTTCTTCAAAAATTGTCAGTTCAAACCCCGTACGAACGCCACTGGTGAGAATTTTTAAATATCTTTCACAATGAAAAATGCTCCTTGATAATGAGAAGGTGTATACAGAATATCATAACAATATCTAAGAGTGATACAAAATTATGATGAAAAACTCATTTTTTTCTTGAAATTTCATCACCCTGTAGCTCAATAACTAAGAGGTTTGGGACATATGTTGATTCGAACTTTTCTCTTTGGAATCATCCAAGGATCATCGCCCTTAAGGATCAGCATTCAATTATGAAACACCCTGTATATAAGTATCAAACTAAAACTGAAACTATTCAACTACAAAGTGAGATGTGCGGTCACGAAACACCCTGTATAACATTTACCAAAATAAATGGTCGAATGACTTTGTGTTTCGTTCAATTGCCCTTGAACGGAGCTGAATAAATACCAAAGTTGAAGGAGCCTGCATTCCTCCTCTGATGGTGATCTCGAGGATGAAATATATTAGGAGGCATTGTATATTCTGGAGCGAGTTAGTTCTTCAAGGAGAGCCCCCAGGAGAAACATGAATATGCGAGTGCCTCGTGTGCGGAATTTTCCGCTTCAATTAAGTGCATAGAACAGCAGTGTATCAAGTGATT